CACTCAATTCACGTACTAAACTGACAGGACGATCAAGAACCTAATCAAGATATTTCAGAATTAATACCGGACTATCACAAATTCAAGCTGAAATCATCATTATGATCATTCCTAATCACAATGCTATTTCTATCAATCTCCACATAATCAGATATCTCCAAATTCGTTCTTATATCACAAACTAATCATTTAAATCCCCGTTAATTATTGGCCCTCGGGGTGTGAACAGTGTTCTGTGAACAGTGTCGTGAACAGTACCCATGAACAGTACCACGACGTGAACAGTAACTGCACTCTCCAAAATTGGCCAAACCACTAGCTAATTCACGGGTTTTCTCTCCAAAAATCACAACAACCAACTAACACTCAATCACATAAATCTCCCTTGAATTAAGCAACAAAACACACTTAAATCCCTCTTAATTGCTACTGGAATTTCCCCCATTTTTCTGCAGAATTTCGGACACACAAGGCAGCAAACAAAATGGATAATTTAAGCCTTAAAAGGCTGTCACATACCAGAATTTTCCAGCTAGCAGAACCGAAGCTTGCAGGGGGGAGAGGCCGGCGGCAGTGCAGGAAAATTCTGCAGGGGACTCACGGGTTCACCCAAAATCGAAGGAAACAAGAGCAATCAAAGTTAACCCAAGCCAATTCAAGCAAGAACAAAGGAATTAGGGGCTGTTCTTACCGAAAAAATGCCCAGAATTTGCACCCACAACAAGAGCAGCCGGCGGACAAAGGCAGAAGAGCAGAGCAGATCCGGCTTTTCCAGCAGAGGAGGAGAGATTTATGGGTTCTATATGGGTTCTAGAACAAGAAAGGAAGGCCAAAACCAAGCTTTCTCACCAATTTTCCAGGGCATGGCTGGGTTCCTCTTTTTCTTTTTTCTTTCGGGTGCAGCGGGAAACAAGAAGAGCAGAAACGGGCTGGAGAAGAAAGAGGAAAAGGGAGAAAAGAAATAAGCCATCCTTATCCAATTTCTACTCTTTTAAGCCCCTCAACTTTGGATATTTTGGCTCTTAAGCCCAAAACAATATTTTTCCACAATCAAGTCCTTAACTGAATGCTAAAATATCACAAAATTTCGGGGTATTACAGGGTCAAAACGGATTGGATTAAAATGGGTTACGGGTCAATGAAAGCGGATCTTAACCCGTCCATTATGGGTCACGGGTCAATCCGTTGATTAACCCAATTAAATTTTTTTTCTTTTTTTTTTCTCTATATATAATTTGTACC